GATGATTCTAATAATAATGAAGGGCAAAACGATTCTCCACCAGTGATGCAAGGCTCGGAACCTGGGTCAATTAAAGTAAGCAGGCGGCAATTAAGATTTGTTATACCTCAGGTTTTGATATTTTCTTTTAATTTAAAAATAAATTCTGAGTCCAAAAATATCAGTCCGTTAAGGCAATATTGTCCCAATACCAAAATCCCAATACCACCTCACAAAAGATGCACAGAAACAATGTGGATTGTTAAAAACCTTTCACTTCCTAGGACCTTTCCACATCCGCTCTTTAAAATTTTGTCGTTTGGTATTAGGCGTGTTCCGGTCCCCAAGTGCGTATCCTTGAATTTTTGCTAACCTTTAGCATTTCTTTTTTATTAAAATTCTTTACAAAAGTATTTATAAATAATATGTAGGTATGTATTATATTGAAAAAAGAATGCGAAAATATTTGAAGAAATTTAATATTTTTTTAATTGATGTGTGAGAATTGACAAATAAATTGGACAAATAAATATTTGTTTTATTTGTTAATACGTAGAAGAACAAATAAATTAAAGGAAAAAATTTCTTTTATTAAAAAAATTTATTTTAAGGTATCCATCTGTTCAGCTGATCGTTCATCAACTGCTGAACCTGTCGAATTATTAGAAAAGGAATCAAATAATCAACAACAACAACAAAATAGCCAACAACAAAAACCAGAAGTAAACAATTCTGTTGTTTCTACTATATTACCTCCACTTTTACCTCAAATGTTTGGAGGGATTGGTGTTGCTCCTGAATGTGAGGAGGAATTGAAACGAGCACTTTCTGAAATGGATAGAAAGGAATTAACTTTGGCTCAGAGAAGACAAAGCAATTTAGATGTATTTTTTGCTTAATTTTATAAAAATATTTTCGTGGCTCCCGTCTTTGTGGACTTTTCCCCCTTTTTCCAGTTTTCTCCGCTCCAAAATTCGATAACTTTGAAGCCTATAAAATTTTAATTTCGGGGTTAGGGCCAAAAAAGCCAAAAGTTGACAATAGGTTATTAACGTCCATGCTCTATAAGACTTTGCTTTTCAGTCAGTTTATTTGCGTATTTTTCTTCCCAAACGCCCAATCACATCAACAATTGCCAAACAATTAAAAAATGTCTTTTTGTTTTTTAGGTAATCCATCAAGCAAGTGGTCGACGTACATCGTATATTTATTTATTTTCTTTTTCAAATTAAATAAAAATATTTTTTCAGGACAACACTAATTCCATTAACACCTGCACAAATTCATTTAATTCGCTCTTTGTGGCGTCAGGTTATTTTTTAAATTAAAAAAATAAATTTTAAAAATAATATTTTAAAGGTTTACCTTAGCAAAGGCCCAACTGTTATTGGTTCTCAAATAAGTCATCGGTTATTCTTTAAAGAGCCTCAAATTCGTGAGCAGTTTAGAAGAGTAAGAGAAGAATTTTTTAATATTTTTAATTTTATTTTTTTAAGTGTCCCCTTCCTCATCAATATGTTAATCACGATAGTTTTTCAAAGGCACATTGTCGGCATATTTCTGAGCTTGTTGATCAGGCAGTTTTATTTTTTTTAAATGTCTCCTTTTGGGTGGGTCGGGTCAACTCCCTAGTAGTCAACTGACCCTGGAGGTCAACTCGTATTTGGACGGATTTGGGGGACTCAGGGTTGATAACTTGAGAGCTTTAAGGCAGGAACCATATTACTATTTTTATTTAATAGGTAGTTGAAAGCTTGGATGATTTGGAAAATGTTAGTGCAATGCTTGAACGTATAGGTAAAAATTATAATTTAAAATAAAAATTAAAAAAATTTTTATTTAAAGGACGAGCTCATGCACGCATATCTGGTGGTCAATTATCAAGTAATTACATAAATTTAAATTATTTTTAAAAATATTTTTATAGGCAAAATTTGGAATTCTGTCGCCGAAACTTTTATTGACTGTACTCTTGAATGGGGGGATAGACGGTAAATTTTTTTAGAAATTCTGAAAATTTATTTTGAATTTTAATTAAGAGCTCGCAGCGAAACTGTCCGAAAGGTTTTAAAATTAAATTTTAAAAATTTTAAAAACAAATTTTTTTAATTTAAGGCATGGGCTCTTATTATTGCCTTTATGATTGAACGTATTAAATATGGACATTTGGAAGAGGTTTTTTTTTATTTTTTCAAAGTTTATTTAATTTTAAATTATTTTTTAGAGAAGACAAATAACAGCAATTCGCTCTACAATAGCCTCGTTGGAACGATTCGCTGTTGGAGGAGGGGGCGAAGGTGGTATTAGTTGTTCCGCCTCTGCAACACCTCTTTCTACTCCTATAGCAACCCAAAGAAAAAATTCTGGTAATGAAGCATTAAATGACAGTCATCTACCTGTTCCTGTTTGTCCAATTAGAAGAGTTTCTGCTTCTACAACTTTTGTAAATTTTATGATTTTGGGGGAAGACTTGCCTGGAGGAAATAGGAAGAAAGTCCTCAATCTTGACGGTCCTGGGAAATCCCTGGATAATTCAAACTATTTTACCTATTTATTTTTGACTTAAAGAATAACAATACAACGCCTTCGTCTTCCTTAAAACAACAAAACAATAGAAACAGCACAATAAGTGCAGTTGTTACCAGTACAATTGCGTCAATTGCCTCTCCAGTTGCAAGCAGAAGAAAAGTTGCTACAACAGCGGTATAAATATTTTTTAAGAAAATTTTTTCTCAATTTTAATTAAGGCCCCTTTAAATTCACGTTCCCCAAAAGCCCAACAATCTCCAACTAAAACACGAACAAAAGCAATGACAACTGCTCGAACAGTAGGTGGACGTTCATCTTCTGATGTACAAGAGAGGAGATTAGCAGAAGGAAAAACAACAACAACAACCACAAATCCTTCTTCAGTCAGAAGCAAAGGAAGAAATGAAGAAAAGAATGTTTCTGGTAAACATACAAATGTTTAAAAAATGTTTTTTTGGAAAATTTTAAAAGGTTTCATTTTTTTAATCTTATGTATAATATGTAAATAAATTTAATAATAATAATTTTTTATTTTATATTCAGTGATCTTTTACAAATTTAATTCAAATAAATATTTAAAAAAAATTATATCCTTTTTTTTAGTAAAATTGAATTTCATACCCTCTTTTTTCATTCCTTCCTCGATGGCGATAAAAACCTACCACAAAATCTGACATCCCTATGTTAACAATACCGGACCATAGGTTCTAAAAAATGGAGCTGGGTACTTTTCGTAAGGTTTGTAGCATATTTTAAGTTTGACCATTTTAGTAGTTTAAGGAAGGGAAAAAAGGGGTATGAAATTCAATAATCTTTTCTACAAAAACAATAAAATTATTAACAACTTATATCTACCTATTTTTCAACAAAAGAATTCTTGAGGTTGAGGAGCATCATTTAATGATTCACATTCTGCAAATTTAGTTTCCTTGTTATTATACTTCTTTGAGGTATTTTTTTCTGCTTCATAATTATTTGATAAAATTGGAATTAGAGGTGGAACAGGTATAAAATTGCTATTATTTTCATTAGTTTTGTAAACTCCATCAGGCCTTCTTTGAATATAAACAAGAAAAATAAAAAGTGTTAAAAGAATAAATAAAGCACTTAAAAGGCCAATAATTGCTGAAAAAATAATTTTTTGAATATAAAATAAAATTTTAAAAATTACGTGTTATAAACAATAATTTCTTTTGACTTTTAACAAAACTTGATAAATGGATTTCGTTATAATAGTCGTCGGAATTTAATGAGTTTATTTTTTGTTGTTCATTTCTGTGTTGTTCGCTTGAAAAAAAATTTTTAATTTAAAAAATTTGGTACTCTTGTGGTATATGCCCCCATTTTTTATAACCCTCATTTCCTTCTTCTCTCCTCTTTGCCTTCTTTTCTATTTTCTCTTTAGGATTACAAAATGGTCAAAGGATTAATGGCAAGGATTAGATACTTTTATAAAAAAAGCGAAAGATATACAGCTTCAGTTTTTCGGTTTTTATAAATTGTAAAGCTTTTCCGGAATTTAATAAAATGTTTTATAAATTGTAAAAACTTTTCCGGAATTTAATAATATATTTTACAAATTGTAAAAACTTTTCCGGAATTTAATAATATATTTTACAAATTGTAAAAACTTTTCCGGAATTTAATAAAATGTTTTACAAATTGTAAAAACTTTTCCGGAATTTAATAAAATGTTTTACAAATTGTAAAAACTTTTCCGGAATTAAATAGAATATTTTACAAATTGTAAAAACTTTTCCGGAATTTAATAAAATGTTTTACAAATTGTAAAAACTTTTCCGGAATTAATTAGAATATTTTAAAAATTGTAAAAACTTTTCCGGAATTTAATAAAATGTTTTACAAATTGTAAAAACTTTTCCGGAATTTAATAAAATGTTTTACAAATTGTAAAAACTTTTCCGGAATTAAATAGAATATTTTAAAAATTGTAAAAACTTTTCCGGAATTTAATAAAATGTTTTACAAATTGTAAAAACTTTTCCGGAATTTAATAAAATGTTTTACAAATTGTAAAAATTTTCCGGAATTTTATAAAATGTTTTACAAATTGTAAAAACTTTTCCGGAATTTAATAAAATGTTTTACAAATTGTAAAAACTTTTCCGGAATTAAATAGAATATTTTAAAAATTGTAAAAACTTTTCCGGAATTTAATAAAATGTTTTACAAATTGTAAAAACTTTTCCGGAATTTAATAAAATGTTTTACAAATTGTAAAAACTTTTCCGGAATTTAATAAAATGTTTTACAAATTGTAAAAACTTTTCCGGAATTTAATAAAATGTTTTACAAATTGTAAAAACTTTTCCGGAATTTAATAAAATATTTTACAAATTGTAAAAACTTTTCCGGAATTTAATAAAATATTTACAATTTGTAAAATCCGAAAAACTAACGCTGTTGGAGGCTATAAAAAATGGGGGTATATACTATAATACAAGAGTACCAAAAATTTTCAAAAAATTTTCTTACATTTTATCAAAAGGACAACTTCCAAAATTAATTTTTCCAGAATATAAAAGCCTTGATTCTTTCGGATTTTTCAAAGGAAAAGCATTACCAATCATTAAACGTGAAATACATCCTTTAAATTTTTGTTTATCAGCAAAATTCCAAACATTAAGTAAAGAAAAGAAGGTAAAATTTCCCAATAATGAAAAGGCAATTTCTCCATTTATCTTTAATTAATTAATTCAATTAAATCTTAACAAAAATTTAATACATTTAAAAAGAATCCTGTTGAATTTGCACAAAAACGAATATCTTTGTTTTTATTATCTGTTATTCTAATTTTATCATAAGTTACATTTTGTGTGAAGAAAAATCTGTAAAAAATAAAAATTTTTATTAAAAAATTTTTTTCAAAGTTACCCATCAAATATAAACGCATTTAAATGACCTAAAATAAAAATTAGTTGTTTTCTTAATAAACTTAATTTTTTTTACCTTCTTTATCAATACTTAAATTGAAACGAGATTCAGCAAATAACGCATTCGCTCTTATTAAATTAATAATTCCATTATTATTAATATTTGAAGTTTGTACATTAATTCTAAAACAATTATTAACTTGACCAGGATGTTGCCAAGCAATGCGTAATTCTGAACCAGTAGATAACCACATACCAACTTCTATTGAAAAAATTTTTTTTAGTTTATGGTTGTAGGCGACTAAAACTCAAAAACGAAAACCGGATTTTAAAAATTTAGATTAACCGAAAACTCGTGAATATTGTGGTTAATAACCGGTCTCCAACAACCCTCGTTATAAGGAAAAAAATTTAAAAAATTTTTTTATTAACCTTCCTCACATGTATCACCAGCAAATGGAGTTAAAGAACAATTACCTTTTTAATAAAAATATTTTTTAATTAAAATTTGTTAAAATATACATTTAAATCCATCATATAATTCAACACAAATTCCTTCATTTTGACATTTTCCATTATTATTTGCTTTGATATTACAAGCCCCCCATTCACCTAATTGAATTCCATTTCCCAAAACTTTTTTTGCCAATTGTCCCAACCGAATAGATTCTCCATTTAAAATAAAATGCTTCAATTGTCCAGCAAAACCAGAACGATCAGGAATATAAGTACGCGAACCAATAATTAAAATTGAAGTTTTTGGTAAAATAAAAAAATCTTTCAAAATTTTTTCTTTTAAATCAACACGTAAAATTTGTTTTTGTTCATCTATTTCCCATGATATTAAATGCCACCTTAAAAAATAATTTTTTCAGTAAAACTTTTTCCACCAATGTAAGTGGTCAGAAAAATAGAAAGGAAAAAAGGGAGCATAAACCGATGTACTACGCTTAATTTTATTTAAAAAGATTTACCGATTATCATCAACACGAACATCACTAATTATTTCATTTATTAATCCAGCATTAACTATTTGTCCAACAAGATGTCCATCTCTTACAGAAAGTTGAAACCAACGTTCTTGATTTGTTGAAGTAAAAGTAAATATAGTAAGGCTTGGATGTGTTAATTTAATCTTAAAAAAATAGTTTTTTGAAAAAAGAAATTAAAAAAAAACCTGAATTGAAGTATAAAATGTTCTAGCATTATTAAAATTTAATGAAGTAAGTAATCGTTGATTTCTATCAGTAAATGTTATTGTTTCAGAAATATCTTTTATTAAATTTTTTTAGTTAAAGAAATTTTTATTTACATCTTCCAGAACATTCTAAAGGGCCAATGCTTACATTTGCTAAGGATTGACTGCTTGTTCCCCCTCCAATAAATAATTGAAGAATTGGAAGTAATTGAATATGGGAATTAATTCCTTCGTCTAAAGAAGCTTCTCCACTGTCACAATTACATTTAAAGCTTAAAAAATTTTATATTTTAACACTTTAAAAAATTTTTTTACTTTAATAAGCAAGAATCATTTAATGCACACGGACACATTCGAGAAAAAGGAGGAGCATCACCCCATTGAAGACCTCAAAAAATATTTTAATGATTTTTAACAAAGGAAAAGAAACCTTGTTGTCCATTACGTGTTGTATACCAAACAGATGGGCGTTTATTATCTTCACCAGAATAAGTCATTAATCGTTGATCGTTGGAACATTGAAAACTCATTTTTTGTTCACAATGTTCAAACGACGAAATAAAATTATCCAATTCATCCATATCTAATCCATAATTGAGAATATGACGAACAGAACCAGGCTCAGAAATACCTGGTTAAAATTATTTTTTAATCTTAAAAATTTGTAAAATAAACATTTTTTTACCCCGTACTTGAATTCCAGTTTTTGGAGCATCATTATTTAAAATAGTAAAGTATTCAATATTTTCTTTTTGAGATTTTTCTTTAAAATTTTTTTTTGGATAAACTAATTTTTAAAAAACCTCCTTTTTTCTTTAAATTATTTATTTTTTTACATTCAACATTGAAGGGTTTTAATGAACCACCGCCGTCCAAGTCAATCATTAATAATTGTTTATTAATTCTTTTAGCAATATTTTTTGAAGTATTTAAAGCAAAATATTGTTCGCATGAAGATGGTAATTTAGCTATAAATATGTATATAAACTAGATTATTAAAGTTTATTTTCGTTTATACCCCTTAAGTCCGCAGCAGGAATGTCACTGGCTACCCATCGAGACTTGACCCACGAACTTTTCCTCGACCCAAAAAACCCGAAATTCCTTCTTAATCACTTTAACTGATCTGTCTGACAATGAGACCAAACTTTTTTACTAGTTTGACCTGCGGACTTCCCCTTATTGCTAGCATAAAGAAAAAAAATCCCAAAATAAATTTAAAAAAAACTAAACAAATTTGGCAAAATCTTCCACTATAATTATTTGAACATTTACAATTAAATGTATAAAAATTATTTTGTATACATTTTCCTCCATTCATACACGGATTTGGTGAACATCTTTAAATTAAAATTTTAAAATATTTCTTATTTAAAATACAAACTTTTGAATTAAAGAACATTCATCTCGCTTGTATTCATTTCCAATTAATATTCCCTAAAAATAAAATTAAAAAAAAATCAGTATAAAAAATATAATACTTGATTTAAGTCAATTGTTGTAGAACGATAACAACCAGAAGCTGAGAGTAAAAATGTTTGCATTCCTAAAAATTTCAAAAAAAAAAAATGGAAAAAATTTTTTCTTTACCTGCACCAATTTGCCTAGCCTGATTTCCTTGTACCCAAAAAATTGTTTTACTGTTCAAAACTAAATCTAATGAATCTGCTCGCAATTTTAATACTAAAGAATGCCATCCTGGAGGTCCAATTGAAAAAACTAAAATTTTAAATTAAAAATTTTCAAAATTCACATACTTTTAGGTTTATCTCCTTCAAATCCGGTGTTTATACTAATTATATAATTTGGTAACAATTCTTCTTCTTGTTCAATTTCTTCTTTTTCTTCAATTTTTATTTGTAAAAGACTAGAATTTTCATTATCCAAAATTGTAAGTAAAGGACCAGAATTTGGAATTATATAAAAATCTAATGAAAACGGTAGAAATGTATATGGAATTTGTAGACTAGTAGATAATCCAAGAGAAAAAAGTTGTGGTTGAGGGATCTAGAAAATTAAATTTAAAATTAATGGGGGCAAATGTAAAATTTTGCCCATGGGGAAAGTAACTAGAATATTCGGCAAAATTTCGACATAAATCCCATACTACGATTCCGATAAACAATGTCATTTAACGCGAGCTTACATGAGTTCCATATTTTATTTATCATTAAAAAAATAAAACCATTACTTTACATTCTTTCAATTCTACAGGCGCAGAGGATAATAAATCAACATTATTTAGCATTATTCTAGCAAAACAACCATGAAATCCATTTTCTATATTTAATCCATTAATCTAGATAATTTAAAAAATACAATTAAAAAATATATAAATAAACCTTTTCAACAACAAATTCTTCATTTCTTCCACCAATTTCTATCTAAATTCAAATCTTTTTAATTTAAAAATTAATTAGTCCATACTTCGGAATTTAAATCTAATTTGCGATAAAGGCCACCAATTTCTGTTGTATTTATTAAAATTGAATCTACAAACAATTCTACACTATCAAAATGATGTAACCTTAATATAAAGACTAATAATTTTAAAAAATTGTAGATTTAAAAAAAAATTTGAGAAATTTTATCCGAAAATATTGAAATTAAAAAGAATCTTTTGCTTACCAACGCATCTCGTGCCATTCCTAAATAATTTAAAAAAATGAATATTTTCTCAAAAATTTACTCCATCATTTAAAGCCAATCCTTCAATAAGTACATTTCTTTGATTTGCACCAAAATCAAAATATATTTCTAAACGGCCAACTTAAAAATTTAAATAATAAGTTTAAAAAAAATAAAAATTACAAGATAGCTGAACGATTAAGTGATCACCATGATTAGCCATTGAATAAAATAAAAGACCTAAAATTAAAATTTTTAAATTGAAAAATGGGTTAACCCAAAAGATCAATTTACCGTAAATGCTCTAACATTAGCCCTTTCTAATAGACGCCCATTCAAAGAGACTCATCAAAAAATAGAAGCCCACTCTCTAATAGTTTCTTTCTAATATATAGGTCAACTCAAGATGATCTAGTGAAAAATAGATGCTCAGGGCTTATATTAAGGCATCTAGAGTGAATGAAAAAATAATACTTAAAAAAATAAACCATTTTCAAAAGTTTTAAAATTAATAATCAATTCATTTTCATAAGCAGCAGAAGCAATTCCTAAAAGCATTGGATTAACCGCAAAAGGATTGCTAATTGAAAATGGCTTTGAATTTTGTGCTTTGCAGGCATTAACAAAAATAATTGGGGAATGTTGTTGTTGTTGAATTGTTTTATTTTTATTTAAATTAATTGAAATTAAATGAATTATGTTGACTAATATTTCAGGTTGTGACCATTCCAAATTATGTGCAGAATTACTTGAATAAATTACCTAAAAAGAGGAACTAAACTTTCTGTTAGAAATTAATATTGGATGAAAATATCCAGAGGTGTGTCAGGCCAGGATCGGAGGTTCCGGGGCTGGTAGACAGGAAACCGGGTATTTTGATAAAAATAAGGTTTCTCGAGGTTGCCGGATTCTGAAACGAAAATACAGGCCTGGGTCTGTTTGAAAGCTGAAAAAACTCGGATACCATGCATCGAATCCTAGGTTTCAGACAAATTATTTTTAATTTAAAAAATATACGTACATGTTTTTCGCCATTTGACATTTTTAAAAAATTCCTATCATCTCCCGTCTCAATTTTATAATTTTTAATCCTCCTTTCAGCAATATCTTCATCTATATAATGTGCCAAATAAAATGCATCTGGAGCCGAAACCTTCAAAAAATTTTTTTTTAATTTTTAAAAAATCAAGTCAAACAAACTATGCCAATTCGTTTAATAATATGTAGAGAACCAAAATTAATTTGTAAATTTTTGTATTGTTTTTCAAAACAATTTTGTTGTTGTTTTTGTGCATTTAAACATTCTAATAAAAATAACAATTTGTAATAATTAAATAAAAATAAATTTAATTTATTCCGTCTTCTAAAACATTTCCAGAGGAAAAAGTTGTTGCCAAAAATTAAGTAAAGCATATTTGAAGATTAGTAGAATTAATCATTTTTATTGAAAAAAATTGAAGATAATAAAAATTTTAGAAGAATAAAAAATATTTAATGGTAAAAATACTAAAAAAAATTTAAAATTAAGAAAAATTAAAAATAAACACCCCATTTATTCGCAAGCTAAAAATGGTCAAAGTTGGAGGCGGCGAGACGCTTTTGCAAAACTCAAGGTTTGTGCTCGGGGTTCTGCGCCACACGTCTCGCTGGAGTCAACGGCTCCTAGATTTTGTACGCAAAACCATAGGCCTACTCATAATGCGAATAAATGGGGTGGGCAATTAAAACAAAAAATTTTCCGAAAGCAAAATTTAATTGCGCATAACGGGAAATAAAAAAAAGTTTTGCATTAAATATCAACATTTTGGAGAGAAAAGCATTTCGATTAATTTAGAGGGAAAAGGTTCGATTTTTTCTGCTGCTTTTTAAGTAAAAGAGGGGGTTTAAATATAATGGATGGCACTCTTGTATATATTTTCCCCCTAGCATCTGCTCTCTGCTTTTTGTAATTCTATTTTTAAAATAAATATATTTTTATTTTTAGTCCCTCAGAATTATTTGCTAATAGAAAAATGACAGAAAATAAATATAAAACCATCAATAAACCCCTCACAATTTTTGGTAATTTTTAAGTTTTACCAGCTGTAAGTTGAGTGAATAAATATATGAGAAGAGTAAATTATTTCTCTTTTTGAATAAAAAAATATGAGATATTAAAAATGGGTCGAATTTGGATAAATGTACGGATAAATTACTATTTTTAGTTATTATTACTAGTTTTTATTTCCCTTAGGGGCGTGCAAAATTATGCTTAAAAATTGTTTGAAAGTGAGCGAATACCTAAAATAAATATAATTGTATCGTGGAAAAATAAAAAATATGTTAAATTATTTTTTGAAGGATGAGGAAAAATTTTACAAATTAAATGAAAAACTTTAAAAAATTAAAAAAGAAGTTCAACAATGGGCATAAACGAGAACCTATATTTACATTTGTGCCTTGCGAATAAATAGTCTGCGCTTAAATGGCCTTTGAAATTGCGCTTAAATGGTCTGCGTTTAAATGGCCTTCCGCGTCTAAGTGTCCACCTGTCCCGTTTAATCGCCACTTTCCAACTATAATTTACAACGTGGATTTTTTGTTTTAAAGGTTTCTTAATGTTTTTTAATATCGTCATATTTTTCTAAAGAATTTAAGACTTAATTATGGCAACTACTACAATTAAGGATGAAAATTCTGTTATTTCTTCTTCAGAAAATCCTCACCAGTTAAATGGTGATTTAACAGAAACTCCAACACAGCAAATAAAAACAACAACTACTGAAGAATCAAAAGAAGAAATTGTCTTTCAAAAAAATAATTTACTTCAAAAACTTCGTGATTTATTTAAAAATGAAGAAATTTTGGGACAAAAGGAACATATTGATGCTTATATTTTGCCTAGAACGGATGCACATAATGTAAGAGTAGTGGGGCTGGGGTTGGAATTAAATAAATTTATTTTTTGTAGAATGAATATATTAATGAAAGGGATCAACGTGTAAAATTTATTAGCGGATTTTCTGGTTCTAATGCATGGGTTATTGTTACAAAGGAAAATGCACTTTTATGGACTGATGGACGTTATTATATTCAGGTTATTTATTTTTCTTATCAGAAATAAATTTTGTTTGAAAATAAAATTTTTTTGACAGTCCTGCGGTTTCGTGCCCCTACCAAAAATAATGTTAAAAATTCTTAAACGCATTTTAAGGGTAATTTTTCATGATTCTGAACTCATGATATGAGGTACACACATCAGACAGGCGGATAAAAAATCAGCTAAAAAATCTGAGTTCAGATTCAAATTTATTTTTGTTAGGGGACAAAACCCGAAGGATTGCCAACTTTTTAATAAACGTATTTTAAAATAAATTATTCTTTAAAGGCAAAATCAGAACTTTACGAAGGATGGACATTAATGAAATTGACTGGGCCAGATTCTATTATGCCTAGTGATTGGATTATCCAAAATTTAGAAAATGGTTCTAAAATTGGTTTTGACCCAAAATTATTTAATTTTGGTTTGAAAAAAATTATTTTTTGATTTTTAATATTTTCTTATAGAAAGAGCAAAAAATTTTAACAAAAAATTAAAAAATTATGGAATTATTTGTACTCCAATCATTAAAAATTTGGTTGATATTTTATGGATAGACAGACCAACAGAATTGTTACAAAAATTATTTATCCTTCCAATTGAAGAATGCGGCGAAGAAATTAATTCAAAATTGGGTAGAATAAGGGAAGAAATGAAAAAACAGAAATGTGATTCTCTTCTGCTGAGTTGTTTGGATGATATTGCTTGCAAGTTTTTTTTAATTTGTTTGACATTTTTGGAAGGTGACAAATAGTCCCTGCTAGGGGTGCCTTTTCGTCTCTGGTCGAATTTTCGTTTCTGTTCTGGTGCACTCCTGGTCCCTCCCCGTAAGCTCGTCAAGGGTATTTTTGTCTCGAAAAACCTCAAGTATTTAAAAATTAATTTTTAAGGGTTATTCAATTTGCGTGGATCGGACATTCCTTATGTTCCTGTTTTTTATTCATATGCAATTATTATGGAAATTAATAAGGTTAATTTAATTTTTAAAAATAAATTTAAAATTTTTAGACTTTTTTATTTGTTGATATGCGTAAAATAACTCCAGAAATTTCAAATTATTTGAAAAATAATAATGTGGAAATATTTGATTATCAAAATGTTGTTAGTTTTTTGAAGGAATATCATGAAACAAGCAAAAATGAATTTAATACAAAAATGCATAAGGTTTTTTAATAAAAATTAGTGGAGCCAGTGAGTAGGTAATTTGACACCTAAAAGGGCGAAACGCGGCACGCCCATGTAGCATACCTCGTTTTAGTCCCTTGAAATCATATCCTGGTTATACCCTTGATCTCAATTTGTTTTTTAAGATTTGGCTTTCAAAATCTATAAATTATGAAATTGGTTATTTTTTTGATAAAAAATATTATTATCTGGCTGATTCTCCAGTTAGCAAAATGAGAACAATTAAAAATTTGGTTGAATTGAATGGAATGAGAAATAGCCATGTAAAATAAATTTTTATTTATTTAATTTAATATTTTTAAAGATTAGAGATTCTGCTGCTCTTATTAAATTTTTGTATTGGATAAATAATGAAATTTCATTGGGTCATTTGGTTGATGAAATTAGGGCAGCACGTCAAATTAATTATTATAGAGAACAATTGGATAAATTTGTATCGCTTAGTTTTGAGGTTTTTTTTAAATTTTCTTCCTTTTCCAAATTTTTTTTTTTAATTTTAGACAATCTCTGCTGTAGATGAAAATGCAGCATTGCCACATTATCATGTTAACGAGAATAATGATAAAAAATTTATCAAAAATGAAAGTGTTTATTTATTTGATTCTGGTGGTCAATATTAGTAAGTATAATTTTTTTTTAATTTTTATTTAAAAAAATTTTTTCTAGTGATGGAACAACAGACGTAACAAGAACAATATGTTTTTCAAAAAATCCAACTCAACATTTTTGTCAAATGTTTACCCTCGTTTTACGTTCACACATAGATTGTGCTTCTACTAAATTTCCGTCAGAAACGTCTCCAGCTGTGTTTGATGGAATTACAAGATTACCGCTTTGGTCTAATGGATATAATTTTGGTCATAATGTTGGGCATGGAGTTGGACATTTTTTAAATGTACATGAAATTCCACGTTAGTTTTTTGTTAAAAAATTTTTTAATTGAAAAAATTCTTTTTTTAAGCATGTTTAGGATCCACAGAGAAATTTGGTCTTAAAAAGGGAAATGTTGTTACAATTGAGCCTGGTTATTATGAAGAAAACAATTTTGGAATTCGTATTGAAAATTGTTATGAAATTGTTGAAGCTAAAAATTTACAATCTGGTTCTAAAAATTTTTTGGAATTTGAAGTACTTACTTTTGTGCCTATACAGAAAAATCTAATTGTTCGAGAATTGCTGGCACAAAAACATGTAAAATTTTTTTTACTTTGTTATAAATGCTATAGCCTAGTTTGACTTTTATTAAGAAAATTCTTTAGATTGATTGGTTAAATAATTATCACAATAAATGCTTCAGTGTTGTTGGACGTTTTCTACAAGAGAAAGGAATGCAGGTTTAATTTTTAATAAAATTAAGAATAATCTTTTTATAATTTCAAGGAAGAATATAATTTCTTGGCAGAAGCATGTACTCCATATTAACTTATTTTTGAAACGTTTTGGGCGGTAATGTTGGGTTTAATTTACAATAATGCTTGTTTGGGGGTGCCTTGCATAATTAATTTACTTCATACACTGTGATAAGTAGTAAACTTTATATTGTAATAAATTAATTTATTAGTAAGTTTTGCCTTAAAAGAATTGAAATTATTTTCGGATAGATAAATATAATAAGACTATTTTTTCAATAAATTAAGGGGGAGGTGACAGCGCCTTCACTGTTTTTTCAAGGCGCTACAGCGCCTTCTCCACTGTTTGATATTTAGTATTTCGGTATTACGGCTCCATACCATTTGTCGAAAGGGATTCTTTACAAAATTTATTCAAAAAATCTTTTTCAATACATTGCCGAATGGAATGACAAATGCCAATTAACGAAAATCAATGTAAATATTCAAATCAGTGTTTTTTCCTCTTTTTCTATCTCTCTAACGTCGAGCACGTTTTTCACCTACAACAAAATCCATTGGAGCTGGGCCTAAAAGAGAAGATGGTGGCGGAGGAATACGCATTCCACCATGTTGTCCCCCAGGTGGCGACATTCGCGGCATGCCACCCATCATAAAATTAGCTAATGGATTAGGTCCTGCAGGCGGATTTCGATCCAGAAGATTCATGTTGGCCGGACTCTGTTGTTTTCGATCCAACGGCCCACCACTGGGTGCTCCTCCTCCTTTTCTGTCGAGAACATTAATTGGTGGCGGTGGAA